TGCAAAGTAGGTATTTTGGATTTTTCCCCACCACAATATTCTTAAACAAATATAGTTCCAACCCTGTGCTTTTTTCTCCCAGTGGAGGTAGCCCAGCAGCTATCTGAAATTCAGTGTGGCATTTGGACATGTATTGTTTGTAAGTTGAGTGACTAAATAATGGCTTTTATTGGTAGCTCATTTGCACTTACAGCCCACGGGCTCAGCCTGTCCTAGAAAACCTAGGCAATCAGAGCAGCCCGTGGGCCATCTGATCTCCCTAAAGAGCTCGTCCACAGAGGCATGTTCACTGTGGTAGCTTTCACTGTGGGGGTAGGGGCCAGTCTTGCTCTGTACAGTGGGGCTTTGACTTACAAGTTTAATTCGTTCTGTGATGGAGCTCGTAACTCAAATTACTCGTGTGTCAAATCAAAAAGTGAACGAGTGAGACACGTGATGCTGGGCTGATGTGGCGTTCACTGTGACGTTCGCTGCGCCAACTAGCCGTGGGGTATCTGAAGCTGGCTCGTAACCCGAACTTTAGCTCGCAACTCAGCAAAAAATTGGCCGAGAGACGGCTCGTATCTCGAAAAACTCGTTAGTCAGGACACTCATAAGTCAAGGCCCCACTGTATGTGGGTCGATGAGCCGAACCTGAAGGCTGTGTCCCTGGGTCTTGCCTGTCCTCTCTTCCTCCTCCCAAAGCCGAGAGATCTGGCGAATTGGATAAAAATTTGAAAAGAAATGCTAGAGGAGGGAATGTTTGAAGTTCCCTGAGGACACAGCAAATTCTGCTTAGGCGTCAGACGGGTCTTCGGTGGCCACTGGACTGAGTTGAGCTCCGTTTGTTCATGAGCAGGCCTATGGGTGGTAACTGGGAGTGAGTGTGGCGAACTCGCGCGTGACGAGGTGGCAGCGTCTTCTCGCTGAGCGCTGACCGGCCGGGCCCAGTGCCTGGCGCCGCGTGTGTCCTAGGGTTTCACCCCAACAGGAGCCCCCGTGGGGCCGTGTGCCGTTCGCCCTCTTAAAGGTGGAGAAACAGAGGCGCAGGGCGTGTAGGCCACGCCCACACAGCGCGTCCCAGCAGCGCCCACGCCTCGGTGTTTAGGCTGAACGGGGTGCTCGGGCCGCCCTGGCTCAGCGCAGCGTCGCTGTCGGCTGTGTCGATAGACTGTTCGAGGCCGTGGCTGCGGAGCCTCAGTGTCCCACCCCCATACCCCCCCTTCCTCTCCCAGGAACTCCTACGTGCGGCTCAGACACCTGTGCACCAACACCTGGGTGCACAGCACCAACATCCCCATCGACAAGGAGGAGGAGAAGCCTGTGATGCTGAAGGTGAGTCGGCACCCCCTGCTCCCCACTCCCGCTGCCAGGCCCCTCAGGGAGGAAGGGGCCGGGGTTCTGCTGCTCCGGCAAGAGTGTGGTCACGGGCACAGGAGAGTGTGGTCACGGGCACAGGAGAGTGTGGTCACGGGCACAGGA